CATCTTCTGGCAGACGATGCATCTGGCCTGGCAGATGGGTAACCTCCCGACAGCAAAGCCTCGTGTCTGCAGAGAAGCTGCTTCGTCACACTTTCGGGAGGGAGGTGGGCCAAAAGGTCTCACTTGACGGAAAAGGGGCTGATTATCTTACAGCTCAAGTGACACGGCCTCAGTCCTCCGGCAGAGTGCAGAGTGGAGGAGGCCTCTGACAGCCGCCGAGGACCGCGTGGGTCCTTACACGGCTCCCTCCCCACGTGACACTGCCTCAGGTTGTCTCGCCGTGTTCCCCCAGCCTCCTCTGGGTTTATTATATCCTGACTTCCAGCTCACCACCAGCCTAGTGGCCCTTCTAGAGATACGCCCTTTGAGAACGTGGTCATGGCATCCTGAGTTAGGCCAAGCTGCACCCTGCACATAACTATCACGTCTATTACCTCTGTACCTTTCAATGAAGCCCGTTGCTAAGAAAATACACATTTCTGAGTGACCACGTGACACATCACATGATTTGAGGTCATCTGAAATCATGGTACCTCAATACGTAACAAGCTAGGTGCTTCGCACACTGATTTCATCCCACTGAGCCAAAGAGGAGGAGCTGGGCACCCCCCAGAGACAAGTCTCTCCATAGCGGGGGTTGGTGGGACCAGGGGTTGCCCACTACCACCCGTAAGCCAAATCTGGCCGGCCACCTGTGTTTATAAATAAAGTTTTATTGGTACCTAGCTATGCCCATTCATGTACTATGGCTGCTTCCGTGCCACAGTGGCAGAGTCAAGTAGTTGCAGAAGAAATCGAATGGCCCACCAAGTCTAAAATATTTACTCTGCCCCTTTATAAGAAAAACTCGTCAACCCCTGGTCTAGACTATTGAAATCATTACCTACCCCACTGGCTGTGATTATCTGGAAATCTAGTAAGTGTACCTTCCATGTTTCCACCCAATTTATTGATAACACTAAGTGCTCAAGACCATGGGCGGGTGAAGGTCATGGCCTTCCACTACAGACATGCATCTGGGTTATGTTTCTTCAACGAACCACCAGTACTGATAACTTTACGTTCATTTTAGAAATAACTCTCACCTTGTTTGGTATTTGATTAACCCATTTCTTCCAGAATGGTTGATATTTCAAGTTTTTGGGATCCACATAAACCATTCCGCATCGAGACACAGTTGCAGGAGAGGCGTACTGTAAATCTCCGACCTGGAGAAATGAAGAAAATCAGTCGCGTCTACAGCTACAAACAACTGGACTGCAAGTTTAAAAGCCTTCGCTTGTACGGTTTCTGCAACTACATAAAACCCAAGTCGCACCCAGCTTGACGCAACTTTCACGAGGCCTCTAATCAAACACGGAGGTTTCTCACGGGAAGGTTAAACATCTCCACTGTAGCACCTTTTTAAGCTTTCTACTACTCTAAAATTAAAGTGAAAATGAATACGCCGTAGAACATCTGACAAACGTACAATAGCATAAGGAGGAAAATAAGCTTTCTAAAAACCCCACCCCCAAGAAACAAACACCGTTTGGAGTATTTTCCTCTCAGTCTTTTCTCTTTCTTCTTTTTTTTTTCAACATAGTTGAAATCGGGTACTATAAAACTTAAGAAATATGTGTCTAAACCAGCAATATTAACATGCTTATCTCTCTGTATCTGTCATGATGTAAATACTGTCTGCAGGCGTCGCTGACTTAGCAGGACAGTGTTCTGTGCAGGGGAGGTGGGCTGCTGGCGTGAGACATGGGCTGTCACCTTTATAGCAGTCGGTCCATAGATAACGCGTGAACTCGGTCATGGAGGAAAGAGCATGGCACGTGTGTTACCTGTGGGTACTAGGGTGGCCTCCAAGTCACCTGCGGGGCGAGCTAAAGAGGGGCGAGCGGAGCCAGCGGGGAGTGAGGACCGCGCTCCCCGTGAACCCTGCCGCGCTGCCTGCGTTTTCTGGAGTCGTCTGTGTTCCCTCCCACGTTAATAAACACTTAACGTTTTCTAACTCAGAGAAAGACTGCTGTCCCAAATTACGTCTCGTCACCACTTGCCTCAAAGAGCAGAGCACAGTGCGCTTGGAGCCGGATGCGCTCGCCGTTGGCCAGCGTCAGCAGCTTGTTGTCGTCCATCACCGAGTTCATGTTTTCCACCCACAAGGCGTCCACGTCCCCGTCGAACAAAATATACCTGCCGGGGTGGGAGGAAGTGAGCCGCGGGCCCCCGAGGGCGTCCGGTGGCGGAACTTGGTGTGACCCTCCGCCCACCGCCACCACCCTTCACGTATTTCCCAGGGTTCTCTAGCCAGGTCCTGAGACAGGGCACCCAACTTGGTCCACAGGCTTGACCCATGGCCTAAAAGGAAAAAAACACATTCAAACTGTTTGGGCTGGGCCCCACCATTTATGAATCAGGAAAGACCACACAAAAAAATCTGGATTTTCCGCTTCTCTGGCAAACGAGAATCTCTGACAACACAGACCAGCGTTCCTGCACGGAAATGACCCGTCGATGCAGATGGTAGCTGCCCTCGGGGACAGACCGTGTCACAGTCCACCTCATTCTTTTCTTAAATCCCAGACTGAGCATCGATTGCTATTTATCGCTGGTTTAGATGCCTAGTTTCCTTAAGGTAAAGTTAAGAGAAAAAGGAAGCATTTCAAATACCCATGTGTATATACTGGGTTCAATGACGCCCCCCCCCCCAAAAAAAAGATACGTCCTTCCAGACCTGTGAATGTGACCTTATTGGGGGGGGTGGGGCAGAAGGACTTCTTTGCAGATGTAATTAAGTTAAGGATCTTGAGATGAGATCGTCCCGGGTTATGCAGGGGGAACCTAATCCAGGGACAGGTGTCCTCACGGAGGGGACGGCCACGTGAAAGAGGGCAGCAGAGTGGAGGGATGCGGCCACAAGCCAAGGAACGCCCGGAGCACCGGAAGCTGGAAGGAGCAAGAAAGGACGTCCCCTCGCCCTCCAGAGGGAGGACGGCCCCGTATTTTCTTTGGCCTTATGGCCTCCAGCACTGTGGGAGAATAAATTTCTGGCGTTTTAAGCCCCCAGTTTGTGGGAACCAGTGCGCCAGCACCAGCCCCCTGACTGACACCACGTGCTGGGCCCCCGCGAGCGTCTGCGTTTACCGGCCCTGATCCACACACCACCTGTCCTGGCAGCAGAACTGCTTCGGCTCCAAGTCCTCTGACCCTCAAGCCGCAGGACGCTTCGATTGCATGGCTATAACGGGTCACAGGGCAGCAAGGCCATCTCCAAGCCACAGACTCTGTCGCTCATTGCCTTGAAACGGTGCTTTGACTTTGCTTCCCTTGAATTCGCTGATAGGAATAGCTGAGTTTTCTGCAGCATTCACCTTTATTTTATTTTGGTACTTTTTTAAGTTTTTTGGTTTTTTTTTTTTAAATAATTTCAAACTTGCATAGTTATGAGCACAGAACAGGACAAAGAGCTCTCATATGTCTTTCAACCAGAGTCTCCAACCAGAGTCTCCAACTGTTAATTTTTTTGCCACGTTTGTGCTCCTGTTCCTGCTCTCTGAATCGTACGAGCGTATTCCCTAAAAACCAGCACCGTCTCCTACGTAACCGCGGTACGACGATCAAATTCAGCAAACTTAGCATCGATAGAATACTATCATCTAATCTATAGCCTGTATTCAAATTTAGCCCCGGTTGTCTCAATAGAGAGTCTCCATTTTACAGTCACCGTAGGCAGACTAGATTCCGGCTGCCATCGGTGAGTGCCAACCACCGGTCAAAGGTGTCGGCGAGGAACGCGCTTGGACATAGTCTCGGGCTGTCTCCCCACAGGCTGCAAATCCATTGCAGGAGAAAACGGCAGACATCGCTTTAACCTCAAGATCAAAGTTAAAACCACTAATACCAGGAGAAACCAGCCTTGCGTGCTTCTGAGGGGGCGCCGAGAAGGAGACCAGGTCACTTCTGTGAGGTCCCTACAGAGGTGCGCAGCCCGCACCCCACTGACTGCGAGGAAGCGCCAGGCAGACCCGCGCGCCGAGGGCGTTCCGCACGGCCGCTGGCCCGGAATCCTCCAGAACATGGAGGCCACGAGACTTAAAGAAAATCCGAGGAACTGCTTGAAACTAGAGGACACCGAAGGGGCAGGACAGCGGGGCCCGGTGTGAAATCCTGGGTCGATCCAGAATCAGGACGATTGCTAAGAAGAGGTTGTTCCACTCGCCGAGACTTCAGGTTTGTGTTGTCTCAGGTCATTTTGTGAATGGGGCTGGGCTAGACCATAAAGCCAGGATGGTCCTCGAGTTCACCAGAGAGGTGTCACAGGGGCGACTGGCACTGGGAAAGGTCTTTCCCTGACGAGCCCACAGAGCGCTCCTGCTCTCGACCTCGGTGACCCTGGCCGCCACAGCACGGGGTGGCGTGAGCAGGGCGGGTATCATCGCCCACGTCTGTAGGTGAGGAAGGGTGTTCCAGCACTTTCCACGACGCGCTGCTGCCTCCGCTCCACTGCCTTGCCATGTAGACAGCCTGGCGCGGCAGCTGAGAGACGGCTGGGGCTCAGGCAGCCTGAGTTTCCACCTCCAGACTTGGGGCGAGTGTCCTCCCTTCCCTAGGCCTCAGCGTCCCCCCACCCCCACCCCGGTGAGCTGGGGACGATCGCGGTTGAGGAGATTGACTGAGACGACACATAAAGAGACCTGAAGTGACACCTGGCACTTCACGAGCAGAGCCCGCGGCCTCTGCCTCTAAACCTGTTGGCACCCGAGCCTGAAGCCGCAACACTCTACGTCCCGTTTCTTCATCATGCTCAGCCAATCCACGCTACCCGCAAAGACACTCACTTCCTCTCCTTCTTATCCGTGGGCCGGTTGATCTCCCTGAAGATGTTAGACAGCACCCCATCTGTCCAGTCTCGGGTGGTGGGGTCCAGGATGCCGTAGAGCTCGATGACGCTCATGGCTTTAGGGTTCAGGGTGTACAGCTTTGTCGTGAGCCCAAGCCTGCATCAAAAGAGAGACGTCAGCTGAGCTCCAGGTGGATGAAATGCGTTAGGAAAACAATCCAGGCCGCCCGCGGGGGGATCAGATGTTTTGGGTCCGATCCCAAATTTAAAACGCAACCCGCACACACACACTCTCCCCTGGGCTTCCCACTCACTGCTAGTGGCTCACACCAAGCTCAGTGGAGCCGCCTGTCACCAAAACCATGACCCCAGCACGAGCGAGGGCTGAACCGAAAGCACGGCGTTGCCTTTTGAGGGACCCTAGAAGCTGACTTTCAGTACAGTTCATATTTACGAGCGTTACATATTCCTGCATACGACACATGGACGTAGCTGTTTCCTGACTAGCGCCCAGGAGGTAAGGACATCAGGAGAAGGTAACGCGCCTCTGAACGCCTAACGCTCGTGGAAGACCTCGTGTTACACGGTGACACCTGCTCTGTGTTGCTGACTTTACGAACCACGTAGACAAGGTGTTTCCCACTGAAACGCCCATACCTTCCGACAACGCTTTGGCGTTGACTAAAGTTCAGACAAACGATAGTCCACAGTGAAGAAAATGAGCAAAAATATCGGTGGCCCACAGGTAGGGAGGCCGAAACGGTGTTCAAGACAAATCCGACCTCCCAGGGCGTCAGAGGGCAAAGTGGGGCTCGGGAGCAGCATCGCCCAGTGAGCCCTGAAACCACCCGGCACCCAGGCCCGCCCCACGGCCGGCACGCTCACCTGGTCTGGGCCTGGCACAGCGTGTTGATGACCACGGACTTGCCCCCTCCCGTGGGCCCCACCACCATTGTCGTGTGGCGGGTCAACATGGTCTCGAACATCTGAACCACTTTATCCACCTGTGGGGCAAAATTCACAGCCGGGTTAAAACACGTTTGTTAAATGCCTTCGCCGCGCTGTAATTCACGTACGATCCACTCATTATAAGTGCGCGATTAAATGATTTTTAGTATGTCCAAAAGGTTGTGACGCCATCGCCACGTCCCATTTTGGAACTTTTTCATCACCCTGAAAAAGTTCCCCCCTAAAAAACCCTGTATTAATAAGTCATCGCCCCCTCCAGCCCCCGCACCCACTCATCTACCTCCTGCCTCTGTGATTTGCCTGTTCTCAACATATAAATGGAAGGACACAGGATGTGGCCTTCTCTGTCTGGCCTGTCTCCCCCAGCATCGTGTTCCCAAGGCTCATCCGCGCTGCAGCGGGCGCCATGTGTCATGCCTCTATGGCTGAATCACGTTCCATCGTGCGGACGGACCACGCTCTGCTTGTCTGCCCAGCCAGTGGTGGACACCTGCTCTGGTTCTTTTCGGCTCTTGTGAACAATGACGCTACAAACAGTCGTGTACGGGTTTTTGTGTGGACGTGTGTTCTCGGCTCTCTTGGGTAGACGGACACGTGGGCGTGGACGGGCTGGGTGGTGTGGTCACTCTGTTTAACTTTCTGAGGAACTGCCAGCCTGTTCTGCAGAGCAGCTGTGCCATTTTACATTCCCAGCAGGAAACACATCTTTTTAAGGAACCATCTTAACGTCAGGGCCAGGAACGGTGCGGAGAGCTATCTCAGCTGTGGCCGGTGCTCCGCGGTGGCCTGATGCCCTGCGGTGGCCCAACCAGAGGCAGCCGCCCTGGGCCTACGGCTTTGGGCATTGACGTTCTCAGCAGCATATGATGTCTGGCAATGATTTTTGTCTTCTTGACGACAACATATACAACTCACAGGATTCAGATGATCAAACTCCTACCAGCAATATCGAATTTAACTTTTTGTAAGTGTGACGGGGGTGGGGGGGGGAAGTTATCTGATGACATTTTGGCAAAAAAAAAAAAAAAAAATGGGAAGATGATCCATCCCTATGATGGAATATGATTCAGCCCTGAAAAGGGAGGAGATTCTGACACGTGCTACACCGCAGATGAACCTAGACGACGTCATGCTGAGTGAAGTAAGCTGGTCGCCAAAGGGCAGAGGCCAAATGACTGGACTCGCATGAGGCGCCCAGAGGAATCGCAGGCACGGCCGGAAAGCAGAGCGATGGTTGCCAGGGGCCGGGGCAGGAGGAGCGGGCAGGGACTGGCTGACGGGTGGAGAGTTTCGGTTTAGGGAGAGGAAGAAGTTCCGGAGGCGGAGGCGGTGACGTCTGCACCGCGGGGGAAACGTGCTTAGTGCCATCGAACCGCGCACTTCGACGCAGTGAAGGCGGCCGGTTTTACGTGACGTGGACGTTACCACAAGGTGTTTAAAAAAGAAGTGGAAGAAAAACAAACATATTGACGGAAAGGGCGCAGAAGGCGCGGGGACGGGGAGCTGTCGTTCCGGGCGCCGCTTCACCTGGACAGGTAAGACGACGAAGCCCGCCTCCTCCAGCACCTGCTCCACGGCGTCGTTGAAGTTGGGGTAGCGCACCCGCGGGCAGTCCAGCCCGGGAAAGAGGTCGGAGATCAAGCCGAGGAAGAGAGGGACGTCCTCGAACACGAACTTGGGCAGGTTCATGTCCCGCAGGGCCCGCATCAGCACCACGTCCTGGACGGGAGGGAACAGGCGGGCTCGCGCGGGCGTTTCCGAAGGACCCGGGGGCCCTCGTGGGGAGCACGAAACATCGAAGGCCGCGAGCTCGGTCTCCGTGGGGACGGACGCCCGAGTGGCACTGACGGAGCTCGGCCTCGAGGTCCGACCCGCGGAGAAGAAACGCGGCCTCTCCTCTCGCTCTCATTGCGAGGAGGGGAAAACGGAGATGTCGCGTGTCCACGCCTGGGGGGAGTCGGGCTTACGCCCCCAGCCCTCCACCCGCGCCCCCGCACAGCGGCTGTTGCCAGGAAAGCCTCACGAGCCGTGGCGCTGTGAAGATGCTGACCTTGACCTTGCGGGCAGAAGTCGAAGTAGAAGGAAACAAGGTCATGGGTAACGGGCCAAATTAAGGCCAGACGGCCAGACGCAACGCTGGCCGGGGGCTGCCCCTTCCGTGGGGTCGAGCGCTGGCCCTGGTGTCCCCACCCCGGTGTGGGCTGACCGCCAGCATGTGCCAGACCCTACCTCCTGAAGCTCCGCAGAACCTCTCTTCAGCTCGCCGGCCATCACCAGCACCGACTTCAGGGCCCGGAGCCCAAAATCGTAATGGTGCTGCTTGGACAGCTGCTCCCGAGCCAGCTTATACAGAACGGTCATCTTTTTGGCCAGGATCTTTTGAGATAAAAGATAATAAACACACACACAAAAATGACTCGAGGGGTTCGGACGAAGTTGCTCTATAAACCAATAGATCTCGCTCCCAACAGAGGCGCCAGGACGGGTCCTGGGCCTTGAACTGTGACAAATCAGGAGCTACGTTAAAAGAACACCAGCCGTACCAAAATTGGACGACTGTCCTTGAAAGCTGAGGAAACATGTAACCGCCTTAAGTTAAAGACGAGAACCCGTCCGACTTTTTAAATCATGGTGACTGCACTCCAAAAATATGCTTCCTGCTTATTTTGACCAAAATGCATTATGAAAACTTCTCTCATAACCGTTTTTTGAGAACTACTTGGCCACCCGGCCCACATCAAGAACTCAAAGGCTGCTGGTCCCTCAGGGTGACGTGGGAGTTTTGCTCATGGAAACTAAGAACCGGAGACTTTAGCTCAAAATCCAGGTGACATAACAGACAGTAGGCGCCTTTAAAATAAAATGCGGAAAAGCAACCTAATGTTCAGAGGGTTATTTGCTATTTTGTACCTTTCCCAAACATTCTCAAAAACTAAGAACCGGAGACTTTAGCTCAAAATCCAGATGACATAACAGGCAGTAGGCGCCTTTAAAAAAAAAATGCAGAAAAGCAACCTAATGTTCAGAGGATTATTTGCTATTTTGTACCTTTCCCAAACATTCTCAAAGCGACAGAGAATGACTGGTGATGGCCAGGAGTTAGGGCTGCGGGGAGGGTGTGACTGTTAGGGGGTCACTCAGGGACACTGTGTACTGACTGCGGTGCTGGCTACTCTACACCTGTGATGAAATGTCACAGACGTACGCACACACCAGAGACGGGAGCTGGGGTCGGGGCAAGAACGCCAAACCCGGGAGCCCGAACCAAGCCTGTGTCTGAGTTAAGAGCACGCGCCTGCGTCGGAGTCCAGGATTTGACAGCGTGCTGCGGGCGGGTGTGTGAGATGTAGCCTTCGGGGGAAGGCAGGCGAGGGGTACGTGGAGACCCCATACTCGGGTTGCCACTTCTTGTGAGTCAAATTATTCCAGAATAAAATTATAACTTTAAAAAGAGAAAGCAGAAAACTTTTAAAAGCCACAGAGAATGGACATGCCCCGATGCTCGGCCCCAAAGGGGTCCGGGGCGGGCTCGGGGGTCTGTGTGGGGCGGCGAGGCCTCACCTTGGCCCAGAGGAAGCCCTCGGAGAAGAGCATGATCTCGCAGATCTGCTGCAGGTCAGGCACGATCACCACCACCGGCCTGAAGAGCGCCTTCACCGACTCGGGCAGCTCCGTGCGGCCCGCGTAGCCGGGGTTCATGGTGATGAAGATGCCCATGCGCGGGTCCAGCGAGATCTCCTGCCCTTCAAACTGAAGGACGACAGGAAAGGGTCAGACACCACAGGGGAGGGGCCGGGGTGAGCCATGAGCCGTGAGTCGTGCTCACGTCCCGAGTGGTGTTGGGGGGCAAGCCTCAACCAACCCCTAAACTCCAATCTGAACCTAGAGTCTCTCCACTTGAGAAGTAGCTGCTGTTGGGGAACAGCGCAGCCTGGGGCTGATTCGAGGTGCTGTGTGACCTCCAGTGGGTCGCTCAACCTCTCTGGGCCTCAGATTCTTTCTCTGCAAGGCCGTGGAGACTCAGCGAGGCAGCACACGGATTTCCATTCCTCTGCTTTTCGCCCCTTCCCCAACCCATCGCCATCCGACCTGGGTGCCTGGACGTCGTGTGGTCCCCCCTTCCTACAGAACCCCGCCTCAGCACCCTTCAAGACGCCAGCCTTTGTCCTCTAGGTGCTCCAGGTACCAACGAACTACCCGAATCTCTATTTTGAGTCTCTTTGGCCTATGTTGAGTTTCAACTATCTCAATTTTCTCTTTACTAAGATTTTACTATTTTATTTCTTTCCGTGCTCCGCCAGATAGACACGGGACAGAACATTCTGCGTTTATGAGGCACAGGCTGCCTCAACGACGACAGAGCAGCCCAGCAGATGGCTGATGCTCCCCCAACACGGAGGCCGCTGTCTTGTCTCCCACGCCTGCACCGACACCACCCCCGCCCGCTCCCCGACATCCCACGCCAGTCCTCGATCGCCCCCTGGATCCGACGGACAGACCCGCTCTTGGAAGCTCAGCTTCCGGAAACCTAAGTGCAGAACAGGTTCCGTTTCCCTCTCACGGGAGGAGGAAGCTCCACCCTAAAAGAGTTCGGAACTAGTTCAAAGAAAACCCATGCAGAACCTTCGCAGGGTCCTCAAACGTTCAACACTGCTTGGTTTGCACAATCTCTTGACGATGAGCTGTGCTGAGGTCTGGGGAGAAGGCAGGTGTGGTGCCAGCGCCACAGAAGCCCCCACAGTGGAAGCGTCACCAGGCCAGGCCGACTTCGGTCCTGAACCTCCCCGTGGGGCGCCATAGGGCCTTGGAGGGTACAGAGGACATTTCGGTAAGGTGGGGGCAAGGACGAGGCCAGGCAGACACAGATGCAGACGGTCACAGGGCATGGCATGGGGTGTCTGCGAAGCCGGTGGCAAGAGGTGACGAGAGTGTGGGGCACACAGGGGCAAGGACAGCGGCAGCGGAGTGTGTGGGGACCACAGGGGACCCCATCGTGAGAAAACGGCCCAGCCACTCTGGTCCCTGTTGTCAGAGCTATATAAATTAGGTAGGATCATTTTTCTCTACATTCTGACCCAGCTTAATCTGATGTAACTCTACACAGACTTCTCAGACTCAAGCCTGTAAATGTTTCCTTGGACGGGGAGAGATTAGTGAATTCTCAAAAAAAGGTTTTTCGTTTGCCTTTTCATTTTGAAAACAGCCTTAAAAAACCTGCTCGTTATAATGCCGTAACTTTACCAGGTACGAAGGCAGAATCTCTTGTTCATTGGGATAATTTCTATTGAAGACATTTCGATTGACTGGAATGTTAATCTTTCAAGTCACTTTTCTCCAACCTGGGAGTCAATAAGAATTTTTTTTTCTCTTTAAAAGGGGCCTTCCACATCACTTATTCGAGGACACTGGCCTACCCAGCTATACCCAGCAATAATATAATTAAAGTCCTTAATTAGCAGAGATGCTGATAATTTGGGGATACCCGGCCATCTCAGTTTGAAAACAAAAGTCCGGCAAATCTTCACCTATGGGAAGCCCGGTGTGGAAAGAGCGCCCTCCCCGTCCCCCGTCTGATGATGCAGAGATAATCTGGCGAGTGTCCACTCTGGGGAGACAATCGGAGAGGACTTCACGCCGGCCCTCACCTGGAATGTGGTTAGCTGATGGATCAGGGCGTTTCGGATGGTCTGGATCTGCGACGAGATGACGGACAGCACGGAGGCATCGATCCGGTTAAACTCATCGAAGCAGCCCCAAGCCCCACACTGCGCGAGGCCGGAGAAAATCTTACCGACGGCCTGGGACGGAAGAGAGGTCAGGGCGAGGGCGGATTCCACCTGTAAAACTGCAGGCGACTCACGGACAGTCAGAGCAGACAGTCAGTCGTTGGATCGGCAGCGAGGCTGCCAGCCAGCCTCCCCACTGATGGAGCTTTCTAGCAAGCCTTCCAAGACCCCCACGGGGGCCAGTTCCCGCTCTCACGACTACACACATTAAGGATTTTAATGTAAAAACCAGATTTCCGGCTTTTCTTGAAACCTTGAAAAATCTAGCCACACTGGGTCCACTTTCCCAAGTGGCAACAATGGACCTACGCTGAACAGGGCCCCCCGCCCTGTAGACCGAGCCTTGATCTCCAGCAGGCCAGTCACCACCACATCTGTCAGCTGCTCTACTCCGGTGGGCGCTAAGCTCTATGTGCTGCTAGCAAGGCAGACGCGTGCAGATTCTGACACTGTGAGCCCGACAGGTTTTCTTCTATATTGTCCGGGCTGTGCCCACGTCATGTCACGGGGCCGGAGGAGACGGAGTGCCTTCCTGCCACGTCCCGCCCTCGGCTCTCCGCCCGATGGGACAGCCCCAGGAGCGATGCCGACGCCTTACTTTGTAATCCATGCCTTCGCCGCAGTTGGTCACGACGCACAGCAAGCCCAAGGCTTTGGCCAGGTCCTTGGTGGTCTCGGTTTTGCCGGTGCCGGCTGGGCCGGCAGGGGCCCCGCCCAGATACATGGACAGTGCCTGTCAGAAGCCAGACGCAAAACACGTGGTCTGATTCGTGTAAAGAAACGGGCGCCAACACCCAGGCTGGCACTGTGACGATTCATGCATTGTATGCGGCAGGGGACGAGCTCGCACTCTCCCTCTCTAACGGTGCCGTGTCCGACATTTCCGTGTCTCCATTAACCTCTGCTGACCCCCGTTGCCCATCCCACGGGGACCAGTGTGCATCAGGGACTAAGTGGCACCCCGGAAGCTGTGCCCACCCTGAGGACAGTTCCTGAGCTGAGGCTCGCGGATGCGTCTGCACAGGGCAGGCGTCAACTTCGCCTAAGGAAGGTTTGGCCCTTTGTCCCCAGATCCTAGGAGCTGACCTTTAAGCCCTTGGAACATCCTGTCCAAGGACGCGTCCCCATGTACCTGGGGACCCTGGCCATGCGGGACACACTAACAACGCGATCAATGGTGGGAGCCATTCAGGTAGTCAGTCCTGTGTGCATGACCGGTCCCCGGCTAAAACCCTGGACACCAGGACTGGGGTGAGCCTCCCCGGGTGGCGATGCTTCGTGCGTGCTGCCACGCGGAGCCGCGGGCAGCACCGAGGTTGCTGGGAGGAGCTGACGCGCACGCCTGGGCCCTCTCGGGCCGTGTCCTACGTATTTCCTGTTGCTGATTTGAACCTGTATCCTTTCGCTGGAATGAACCCTAACCGGGACCATAGTGGCATTACTGAGTTCTGTGAGTCCTTGTAGCAAATTATTGAGCCTGAGGGTGGTTTTTAGGGGCCACCAATCTCAAAGGGTGGCAACTACGTTGTGCTCCAATGTGAAACGCTTTGTGGATTTTTACACAGCGAAACCCCTTCCTATCGGCTTTAGTTTCCTGGGGCTGCCGTAACAGACCACCACAGCTGGTGGCCTGGAACGGCAGGCACGCACTCCTCCACGGTCTGGAGGCCAGAGGGCTGGAAGCAAGGGGTCGGCAGGACCGCGCTCCCTCCGAGAGTCTAAGACGGGCTGCTCTTTGCTTCCGGCGGCTCTAGGCGCTCCTCGGCTCGTGGCCACAACACTCCAATCGCTGCCTCTGTCTCCTTGTCATCTTCCCTGTTATCTCTGCCCCCTCTCCTCTCCTTACAAGGACACTAATCCCTGGAGTCAGGGCCCTAATCCAGACGTTCTCATCCCAGCCCTTAACGAACGAAACCTGCAAAGGCCCTGTTCTGAGGTCGCGATCTGAGGCTTCGGGCGGACGTGAATTTTGGAGGACACCGTGGCCGACCCAAGACACGATCACAGCCACCACGGTCACACCGAGAGAAACACGCCCGCGGGGAAGTGGCGAGCGCGAGGGCCGGGTGGCAGTCACCTGCGTCAGAGTCAGGTAAATCCGGTCGGTGAGGGCTGTGATGACCAGCCTCCCGTTCAAGCCCATGTACTCGTAGCCGTAGCTGAAGGTCCCCGTGCACTGGCGGATGTTCAGCTCGTCCGGGTCCCGATCCCAGTAAAACCGCAGCTGACTTTCCCATTCGAACTCCTGGGCGTCGAGAATGCTGGGGGGAGGTGGGGCGAGAGAGAGACACGGGAGAGGGGTGGGGAGGAGGGGAGGGTGGACGCGAAGGAGGCAGGGGAAGCCGAGGGAGGCCCAAGGACGAGAAAGGACACCCGCGCCCCGGGAAGGTCCTCACCTGCCCCTTATGAAAGAGTCCACTATGTCTCTGGCGTGCACGTCGATGATGAGAACGGTGTTGTATTTCTTCCTGTCGTTTTTGCTCAAGGGCGTGGTGATCCGGGTGACCAGCTCATCGATCTGCTGGTGCATTTTCTTGCCATAGTTCTTCATGGCCTGCTTCTCCCCTTTCTGCACCTGGCGGAAGACATCTTCCACCTCCCAGGTCCACCACACCTGGCTGGCGGCCAGCACCACCATCCCTTGATACAGGAGCATCCAGTCGACCCTGAAGGAAAAGCACACCTTCACAAGACTTTTCCTCACGTACCAAAGACAGTCCCAGTAAGAACCGATTTCTTTGATCCGGAACAGGGCAGGCAAAGTAAGCATTTCGGGTAAGCAAACGGTAGTAAAACCCTTCTGGCGAGGCAGGAAGATAGCTGGCCGACACGCACACACTGAAAGGTACAGGTGCGTGACTGTGTGGAGTTCCGGGTCACTGGCCTTGCAGAAGACGACGAGCCTAGGAAGTCGGAGAGCGGGCAAGGTGGAAGCAACGTGACCGGAGGACATGCAGGGGCGCAGGGTAAAGCTAAGATGACCGTGGATGGTGCGCGGCAGATCCCGGGACCCTCGGCGCTTTCCCAGGCCACGTTCGCCTGGGCCGATCTCAGTGATGTCAAAACACGTCTGCTCGAGTCAACCCACATGCCCGTGTCGAGTGCTCACCCCCTCATCAGAAGCAACGTGCTCACACGCGAAGGCCGAGGGCTCTTTGGGTGAAGAAAGGGGTGGCACGGACGCTTCTCGATCAGGTTGCCTTCCCTTACCCTGTCTTTCCCCAACCAAGCATTGTGACACATAGCGATGCCCCGGCAAAGCGGCAGTGATGACGCAAATCGAACTCACTAATGCGGATATTAAATTCATACGATTTGGGAGCATTAAAGAGACTTTAAAAGGGTTGGTGATCACCACTTCTGGAGGGCCGTGGCTCCTGTCTAGCTCTGCTTTGCCTATCATCTGGCACAGTGATTAGCCCAGAGCGGGGGACAGTAAATGAATGAACACAGCTGATAAGGTGCTGGGGCCACCTCCCATCAGGCTCTCGAGGGCTAACGGTCAAATGGTCAAATAGCTAACGTCAGATGAGAATTTTGCAAACTGGTTATCAAACTACTTATCGTGACGATATTCTATGTACCTTTGAAATCGGCAACAATAGGAGTATTTACACCCTGAAAATAGGCAAATGCTCTAAATCAAAGCTTTTTTTTTTTTTCAGGGAGGCAGTTAACCAGCACACCATTGAACAATGTGTCTACATAACTCAATCCCATAAAGATGTAGACCAATTTTTTTAATGTTAGCAGGCTCGTGATCACACGACTATTGTGCTATGTCCTAATCATTTAAGTAGACGTT